GACTCCCGTCTAGGCTAGGAAGACGTGTCTCACACATACTTACAATACTGAAGAACAGGTGAAGCACACCTGCGAGAGAGGGGAGAGTAAGACATTATCATTGGTGGAGTATTGGTTAGCCTCACGTTCATTAGTGGAGAAGTATTAAATACTGTTTGTACAGTTGACGAGTCATACATGTGATTTTAAATAGCACTGAATTCTGAAGATAGTGATGTATAACCAAATGCAATGTGTTTACCCTTCAGTGAATGCAAAGCCAATAAGAACCACCAGGAGCTAAGAGTGAAGACAGTTTTGGGTTTTTCTGTTTTTGGTACTGGAAGTTAAACTCATGACCTTGCTCTTGCCAAGCAGGTGCTAACGCTACTGAGCTAAATCCCTGGCCCAAGACAGTTCTTTACTTGCAGCAAGTGAGGTGTGTACTGGAGGTGAATTTCAAAACAGTGCCTCCCAAAAGAAAATGGAGACTTTACTGGAGAAACTTACACTTAGCACATTAGAGGTAGGTGCATTCCTGAGTATGCTCAGTTCAAAGTCCTGTATCACATTTTCCAAGTAATAGCAGACTGGAGCAAATTTACTCTAGGTCACCTAAAAGAGTAAGTCAGAATGAGTAGGCTGATTCCTCATGAGTTTTAGCAGAAGGCCTTCTTTGTCAAACAACAACGAAAGTAAACTTCAAAGGGTTTAATAATCCTTTAAAGGAGTAGCAACTCCTTCCTCCAAGCATAGCTGATTGCCCCAATAATACCTGCTGTGGAGCTAATAAAAGATGATTAACGCATCATTAGAAAACAAGACTTATTGTTAAATAACATATTTGTGTAGCTTGCATTGTTAGTGCAGGGTGGGATTCACCATGTTATATCTCTGAAGGCAGCGTCCAACAGGTAACATGAAGGTAATGATATACATTCAACATCAATCTTAAACCGTTTCTTGTACTATAGACTTAAGTGATCCATCAGATTATTCTATGAAATCCAGTGTTAAACCTAACCTCTACCTAGCTAGATTTTCATGAATGCATCTTATGAGTAATTCACCTGTTAATCACAATCATTCATATAACGCATTAGCATTTACTCAGTTGCTGCATTTAATTCTTATGGTTTGCTCTAAGAAGTTTTTATTGTATTATCCTCTTACAGAGTAAATTGGAAGTTAATTTGCATAAGTCAAGTTTTACAATCAAAATAACGATCATAATTTCTTTACAAATTTTAACTTACTACTTTAAAAAAAATTCCAACATAACTGCAGTTTTAAAGTAAACTAGCGAAATCCTGTAAATCTGAATTTATTTGCTAGAGCTGCCAAGGGAAAGTACTACACACTGGTGGCTTAAACCACAGAAAGGTGTTTTCTCGTAGTTTCAGATGCTGTGAGTCTTGAGCTCAAAATGGTGGCAGGTTTGAGTCCTTCCAAAATCTCTCTTTGATTTATTGATGACTGTCTTCACCTTTTGTGTTTCACAGCAATTTTTTTCTTCTCTATGTTTCTGCATCTTAATCCTTTTTTATGAGGGACAACAATTGTACAGGATTGGCACCCACCTTAATGACCTTGTTTTAATGTAATTACCTTTTGAAGGGTCCTTTCAATATAGTAACATTGTGAAATGCTAGGGTTTAGGACTTTCACATAGAGATTTTAGGGGAACACAAATGAGTCCATAATACCCTTCACGTAAATTTTTAGCAGTTGTTTTTAGCAGTACATTTTGCTGCGTATTTTTCTCTTTTTTTTTTTTTTCTATTTTTGCAGAAGTATTTAAACATGAATTGCAGATATTATATATCACTTTATCCTTAATAGTTCATGTATATCCTAAAAAAAAGGTTTCCTTTTATATAACCATAATTAAGGAAATTTAATGTGGATATGATACTTTCATCTATAGAGTTTCTATTCAAATTTTATCAAATGGTCAAATAATATGCTTTATAGCAGTTTTTGTTTTGTTTTTTCATGATTTCTTAGCTATTCCTATATTTCGTACTGCATTTAATTTGACCCTTTTGTTTCCTTTTACTTAAAACAACTTTTGACACTGCTTTATGTTGTACCCTTTATACACTGACTGTATTTTTTCAATAAATTCAGTGAATTTTTGCCAGGAATATTGTTACCAGAATTTGGGGTTTTCCTGGGCTTGTGATGATCTGGTCCTTGACAACTGTTAGATCCTCCCTAAGAAGATCTGTGAAGACTTAGTCAGAAAATAGAATTTCTCCAAGCTTTTTATAGTATGACAGAGTACACTCTTAAGCAAAGCTAACTTTTCTTGGAGAGGACAGTATACTTGGGAGAGAGCCAGGTGGGCAGAACCTATGTAAAATGCAGAGTGGACAGAATCCAGAAAGGACAGCTGTAGCAAGGTGAGGATTGGTTTCTCTGAAGTATCAGGGAGTGGTCCTGGGTGAGAACTAATGAGTTTTTCTTCCAAGTACTGTCTGGCAGGAGGAGCTCTAGAACTTACATGGTCCTAGTTGGGAAAACCACAATAGTCAAAGCCCGTTAGGAAATAAAAACTGCGGTGCAGATGTGCACAGGATCAACATTAGTTAACCTGGGGCCTGGGGGCTGGGGGCTGGGGCCCTGCAGCTGCATGAGCAGCATACAGAGAACCCGAGAGAGGTGCAAGTTGCCTAGTTCAGAAAATGTAGGAGACTGCAGACTCGAAACAGACCCTGTGTACCAAAGGTGACTGCTTCTTCCTTTAACTCACCTGCCGGCTTCCTCTTTCTGTCTGTCTGGTAGCTGCCTCCTGTGTAAGTGATGTTTCTTTTCTATTAAGTTGCAAGGAACTTGGTGCCATTTTTTTGCTTTCAGAGTATTAAATATGACTGTGTGATAGCTACCACATTTCCCTACTATGAAGTTATCGTCTTCCCATTTGAACTATGTAAAGATAAAAGTAACCCTTTAAAAGGAGTTTAGTAGATGGTACGTTTTCCCATTCCTGTCCTTCCTGTAGTGACTCTGTGTCATGTCATAATAGGAATAATGTCCAATGTTTGTTTTTAGGTCCCCTTCACACATCCTGCAAATCGTTGTATGTGATACATTTTTTAAGCTTAGTTCAATACATGTACACACAAACGTATAATCATACATCTGGTGAAATTTCACTAAACAGTAGTATTACACTTATGTGAGAAGTATACAATACTCTATATTCTTTTTAATACAGTGAAATGAAAATTGTAGGGTTGTTTTGATTTTTGTTTTCTTTTCCTTCCCTGTTATCCTGGGACCTCACAATGCTAGGAAAACATTTTACCAGTGAGCTATAATTTTCCTGCTTGAAAATTCTGCTTTTTATTTACCAACCTGATTGCACCATCATTGTTGGGACTCATAGTTTGAAAGACATTGGTGTCCCGTCATTTGCCGTCTTCCCCCAGCTGTTCTTAAGCTGAGTGTACATTGGCCTTCATGCTGGTCCACCACACTGTAAATACGCTTTTCTTTAGGGTGTTTGCATTTGTTATTCTCTCTCGAGAAATGTCCTTTTGTTTCTGTTCCCTTACTTTATTCATCTTTCTGTTAACATACTGTCTTCCATTCCCTACTGACCTGTATGAAATAAAACATGATCTTATCACCTGCTTTTTTCTGTATAGCACTTTTTATTTCCTGATACATTTCTGTTACTTGATATAGTCATATGTATTCACTGTTAGACTAGTGAGTGAAGTTTTTATATTAATTATGTGTCATAGCTAAATCAAATTGTAATTTCAGAAGTGGAAATAGTGCTAGTTTTTCTTATTAATTTACATTTGTAAGTAGTTATTGTTTTATAATTTCTTGTAAATTAAAAACTGTATAATCATAACCCCATCAGTTGTTTTCACACCAGATCATTAAGATCTGCTATCTTCCTAGGATCTAGTCTTTATTTATCCTTTGTGAAGACAGCAAGCACAAGCCCTCCCCGAAAGTCCCATGTATAGGCATTACTTCAGAAACATAATCTGGGTTGCTGTGTTTGGATTCTCTCTGACCAGTAGCCTGGCTTGGTGGAGTTGTACCAATAAATCTGCTTGCTGGAGAGCCATTTCACAGCTCTCCAATAGAACACAGGTCAGATCCCCACTTATTTAAACAACATTTTATTCTTACTCTTTTCTAAAACTTACATAATCATTTCTGTATTGATCAAGTACAATGGATGTTCCATATTTTCTACATTTGATGTGATTTTGGTTGGTATGTATAGTCTGACGTTTTAAACTTTGAGTATAACATTTCTAGTGAAAAATATCATTGCAGCCTGTCTTCACTGAATATTTTTCTATAGCCAGCATCCAATTATGAATCTTAATTTGACTATTTTGTATTAAAATGAACTCCTTAGGCATCAATATTGCAATAACAATGAACATAATGTTACTGACATGAATATCTTAATGAATTAATACATTAAAGTAATTTGTAATTAGATCTGGTGGAATCCTAGTATTGTGATATTTCTCTGTAGCCTACAAGAAGTTATTTAAGCTTTTGTCTGTGAAATGAAGACAGTAGCAGTCTCATGGGTTGCTGAGAAGGTTAATATTTGTAGCATGCCTGGCTTGTAGAATGTGCTCAGAAATTCTCATAGCTGGCAAAGTCAGCTAGTAAATTCCATGTTTGTGTTCTGTTGAGGAAAGCCATTTAGCTTATGAAATTGATGCTTTATACCTATCGTGTTCTAACCTGGCTCCTGTCAGGTGAGAGTAGATGGCATGGTGAACAGGAACAGAGCCTCTTGGGCCAGTTTCATCTCGGTAACTTGGGGGAGGCCGACCTCGGCCAGGAAATGGGCTGTGCGCCCCTCCTTCAGCTTTAAGCGGTGTAGCAGTCGCATAGTTCTTTCAGGAACGCTGCGGAGACTAAATCAGAACGTGTTCTTTAATGTTTAGAATAGCTGCTGACAGTGCTGTGGGTGAGTTTTTGTTGTTGTTAGTAATTTTGTTGTTAAGTAGATTAGTCTTTTGTCTCTTCAGGTGAATCTTGGAGGCAACCAGTACCTTTTCTCTGTCACAGTGGATCCGAAGGAAATGCCCTGCTTCTGTTTGCGCCACGATGTTGATGCCCTGCTGTGGCAGCCACACTGGCACGGACACGATGACATGTGGGAGCACGTTGCCACGTTCAATGCGCTAGGTATGATGAAGCAAGCTCTGTCACGGCATTGTGCGATGCCAGAGCATCGTGTTTTAAAGGTCATTTCTGTGTGAACCGAATGATCCTGACCACACTTAGACTGGTTTGTTCTGACATCGGGTTTCTTGTATTGTGGTCGACGTGGTCAGTGATGTTTGCACATAGGGCTCATTTGTTCTTACGCCTGGAAAGATCAACATAGGGTAAAATGGAAATGGTCATCCAACCCTACGAATGATTCCAACCAGACATTTTCTTATTCTAATTCTGTAAACTAAATTGTTACCATAAGAACAAGGGGCAATGCAGAGGCCTATGTGGAACTTGTATTTAAGTTCTTCAGAGTACCAGCGTTAGTGGTACACACCTGTAATCCCAGCTCACTGCGAAGCTGAGGCAGGAAGATCACAAGTTTGAGCCTAGCATCGGCAATTTAACAACTAGGCAAAACCTGTCTTTAGAAATTAGAAAAGTTTGGGAATTTGGTAGAACAAAGGCCTGGGGTTCAATTTCTAGTACCACAAAAAAAAATGTGTGTGTGTGTGTGTGTGTGTGTTTGTGTACATATGAATGAGTGTGTGTCATAAATTACATTAAGCATGAAAGGGTTTGGGAGGTATCTGTGTGAAGGCCCTGTGCTCAGTCCCTAGTCCCACACCAAGAAGCTTCTTCAGAGTAATCATCAGAAACATGGTGGAATTACTCTAAAGCTGTGCACATTAGGAGGTACCTTTCCTTGAACTTAGGTACAAAGAGCTGTCATAATGAGAACACTTCAGGAAGTGATGAGTAGAAAGTAAGTTTATTTGAGATCATAAAACGGAAATTACTAATTTAAAACAAGGGACTGAAAATTTTTAAACTATATAATTATAGACTTTATAGAATCATTAATTTTACATCAGAGTATGTCTGTATTATGAATAAATTTTTAGTGTAAAGTAGCCACATTTGTTGCTTTTTTGAAAGGTGATTTTAAACTGGCACCAAGACATGAAATGTATGCTTTTAAGTGAACATATAAATGCACAACGCTAGCTATAGAGACTGTCAGTTATTCCTTTTTGTTAATAATGACGCTGCTAAACTGGCTCATTCAGACTCCAAATAAGGGTAAAGGACAGCTGGGATTTGGGCAGAGCCCTGTGCCGTGGGGTGACATTAGTCAGCCGCTTCTGGTGCAGAGAGAACTGCCAGGATCTGCTGGGGCTGAACCACACCTCTGGTTGGGACCCAATAAGCAGATACAAAATAGTTGTGACTTTGTGACATCCACAAGGTACAGCCTAACTTGCGGATTGACTGGCACAGAGGCTGGAGGCTAGCCTGCACCGTCCCTGCATCCCTGCCTACCCCAGATAACAGCAAATTGGGGAGAGCAGCAAAAACTCAAGTCAGCACACTTCTGAAAGGCCCTAAGCAATACGGACGGGCCAGAGACCCCAGGACACTCCAGTCTGAAAGAAACCAGAAACATGACAAGAGATAGAAATAAAAAAAAATCTCCAGCTGCCCAACATGGGAAAATAAGCCCAGGAGAAGTAAACACAGAACAGAACCAGCACAGTCACCATCCAATACTAGACACAGACAGCATCAGCCGAAATAAAAGAAATACCTTCATGACCTCATAGACGGATTTAAAACTGTACTTCTGATCCAAGTGAGGCAAGATACAAAGAGATTAATTAAAGAAATGATAAGCCCCGCCCAAGAGAATACAGATGGAAGAACGGAGGAAATCAGAAAAGAAAGAGAAACTTCTGAAGAAGAATTTAAACATAACCTAGAATACATGAAACAGATCCAAAGAGATTACCAGGAAACTAAAAACTCCATTGAATACTGGCAAAATGCCTTGACAGAAACTAGTTAGCCTTTTGAAACAGACTCCAAATAGATTTTTTTATATGGGATATTGAATTCACAACCTTGCCCTTGCCAGGCAGGTACTTATGCCACTAAGCTAAATCCCCAGCCCTCCAAATAGATTCTTATGACCTGAAATATAAAATTTTATTGACTAATTTAGCCACATAATTTGTAGCCTTAGCTTCTTACTGGAATTTTTTTTTTTTTTTTTCATTCTCTTCCCTCTCTTCCTTCACTAAGAGGAAAGTTCTGTTAGATGCTCAGACCCTGCATTTATATGTCCAGGCCTCTGTCACAGAGGAATTACATGCTTGAGTCTCAGTTAAATCAGCTTTACATTAGCTCATGAGATACTATGTATATTACTCGTTGTATGGAAGTTAGCCAGGACAGCTCATTCTAAGCTACTCAAATAAATGTCTATATCCACTTCACTTTTCCTTCTTCAAACCCGTCTAATATATAGAAAAAGTAGCACCAATTTCCTGTACTCAGTGGCTTTGCTCATTTGTTGTTTGATAAGATGTTTTCATTGATGTTCCATTAAAATTTTATATAACTGTCCCTTTAATCTGAAGAGATATTTTTTCAACATGTACATGACTTTAAGACAAGATTAAAATTTCTTTCAATTAGTTTTCAGGGATATTCTAATTAAGACTTTTGAAGGATACTTGAGTCATTTTTAGCTTGTAGTGGTCTCATGGTTCTGCTGCTAGGGGTGAGATACACCAAAATCCTATTACAATGTGGGTACTGTAAGTTCTACAAACATCATAAGGATGATGAGAGAAAGTCTTGAGAGATGTTATAAACAGTTCTTCAGGCCTGCATTGTGAACAGATTCCTAAAATAACTAGAATGCTAGGATACAAACATTTCTCATTTATTTGATAAAAGGATAAAACTGATATGTTATAGCATATCAGTTACTCATCAGTTTATAAATTATGCATTTAAAGATTTTTTTGTGACATAGTGTTTTAGATTTCACATTTTTAATGTTTTTGTTTTGTTTTGTATTTTGTCATTTTGAGACAGGGGCTCACTGTGCAGTTCAGGCTGGCCTTGAACGCATATTGTAGCCCAGGCTGATCTCCAATTTGCAAAGATCTTCCTGCCTCAACCTCCTGAACACTGGGATTACAGCAGGTGCCACCCTGCCTGGCTTAGTGTTCTCATTGTTAATAGAAATAAACTGAGACTGTGTTGTGCTTTTTTTTTGAAGAGTTGAATACATGTCTGTTTTGTTACTTAGGAATTAAACTTTGTACCAATGAAAAACCGGCTAATTGTTAAGGGTTCTGAGTTCTAACCACTAGTATTTATGGTCTGTGTTCTGCGTAGGCACTTCAGTTCTTATAGTTTTGTTTTATGTTCTCGGCAGGTTATGTCCAAGCATCAAAGAGAGACAAAAAATTTTTCACCTGTGCTCCGAATTACTCCTACGCGGCGCTTTGCGAGTGCGTCCGCCACGTGTTCATCTACCGGCAGCCCGCCCCCATGTCCACGGTGCTGTACAACAGGAAGGAGGGCAGGCACGTGGGCCAGGTGGCCAAGCAGCAAGTGGCCAGCTTGGAAACCAACGACCCTATTTTAGGCTTTCAGGCAACGAACGAGAGATTATTTGTTCTAACTACCAAAAACCTCTTTTTAATAAAAGTAAATACGGAGAATTGATTTCTCTAATATATTGGCTTCTCTGTACTGGAAAAGTATTCAGTGGTAGCTAGACTGTAACCTCTTAAATTTGAATGTGTTAAATAAAAATGTCTTATGAATTTTTTAATTTTTAAAGACTATTAAAATGTATTAAGAGATTATGATGCTCTAAAACATAGGAAATGAAGCTTCAGACTTAGGGAACACTGGCTTCTATAAAAAATACAAAATGTGGCAAGTATGCTTATTTTTTAAAAATAAAAGACTCATCTTTTTTATGAAACATGTACAGTTTTAAGTGTTTAAAAATAAAAATGTTTGGTATACTTTGTTTGTTAGGTTGGCATAGAATGTACTAAGGTAACAGTGAAACGTGTTGAATATTACAGGTACTTATTTATTTAAATGAACTGAATAATGGAATCTACATAAAAAGTATAGCAGGTCTGATTGTAATGTCTGCTGAGAGCCCTTAATTTTTTAAATGAAGAAAACTTTAATTTTTGTTTGCTCTGCCACACAGATTAGGCTCTACGTTATCATCCATTCTTTCATAACAAACTGCCCCAAAGCACTGGTTTAAAAACAAGATTTTGATTTTTTGATGGTTCGGTGAGTTGAACATCTTTGCTCTGCAGAGCCTGGTAACCTCCAGGAGGCTACACGGGGCTTCCCCCCCTGCTGGTGGAAACATTCCAGGAGGGCGAGCTCCCCGCGCAGCGCTTAGCGCCTGCTCTCCTGTCAGCATCGTGTTTGCTGGTGATCCACCCGAGTCAGTCACACGCCAGCCAGCCTGAGGGACCGCACTGGGGTACAGATGGCAGGAGGTGTGATTCACGGGGGGCCGCTGACCCAGCAGTCTGCCACAGGAGGGAACACTGTAATAAATTCTCTTTATTAAGTAAGTACTGTTTTTTTCTGACAGTTTAAAGAAATGATTCTGTTTATACATTAAACTTTTTCACCGCAAATTTTAGTTGTTTGTATGTATACTGTTTTCCCAGGGTTTTATTTTTGGTTTGGGGGGACATTTTTGGCTTTTATTTTTGCAGTCCTGAGGATTGAACCCAGGGAGTGCTGAGCTACATCCCCAGCACCTTTTTTTGTGTTTTATTTTGAGACAGAGTCTTGCTAAGTTGCTCAATTGGTCTCAGACGTCATCCCCTGTGCCTCACTCTCCTGAGTAGATGGGATTACAGGTATGTGCCACTGCCCCCAGCTTTCCAGGTATGTTCTAGTTTTTAAAATATTTTTTATAGCTGTTTGAGGTTTGTGTCTTATATAAACCTCAATATGGTTTCCATATTTTAATAAGGCAGTAAAGACCGTAATTAAAGAGAAATTAGAAAATCCTTGTTCTTAACTGGTCTTTTATCTGTTATCTACCTGGGCAAATATTTCGCTGAATTTTAATGAAGGAAGGAAGAACAGGCTTGAGAGACAGAAAAAGAGAAAAAAGATGGATACATGTTACATGCATTTAGTGATGCCAAATCTTTGGGAGCTGTCAGGGGTGATTCAAAACAAAACAAAAACCTAGCCCAATGTGTGCCTCAAGTTAACCCCCACTGTTTCCTGTGAGAAAGTCAAATGGCTTAAATATGTATTACAGATCCCCACCAATTTGACAAAGTTGATTTTTTTTTAAAAGTATTATTATTGATGAATTGACAAAGTAAATAGAGTTAAAAGGAGTGGAACATTGAAAGAGCTTTTTAAAATGGAGGTCAGAGGCCACTGAGAATCAGGATTTAGGCACAGTCCAGATGCTGCCTGGAATGTGAACTTTGCTATATCCACCATTTAACCACACACATCATGGAGCCAAGAACAATTTACATTGTGCCGGGGGTGAGGGCTCAAGAAGCTTATGAAAAAGTCATCAGACAATTGTTTCATAAAAATTTCCATTCTGGTGATACATTGTTACCTATTTTCTATCAGTGTTGGCCCCAAATAAAGTCCTTTCACTTTTGTGGTGTCTGAGTTTGGTTTGCATGATGCAACCTACAATGAACTGCATGTTTCAGGTATTGTGATATTATATAATATGTATTTGGTCTTCCATCCTATTTCTTGGCATTCAGCTTTGAAAATCCTTGGAACCTTCAGAGTGATATCTTTTTATGCTAATAAGTTGGCTGATGACGGGCACCACAAACCACGAGGCTTTTGTGCCTGCCCCGTGCTCCTGGAGCACTGTCATGGGAATGTGACAGGTGGTTTTGTAGTAGGACAGCAATGTGAAGAGCGGCCAGGATCCTGGCCTGACTTCCTTAGTCTAGGAAGTACGGAAGTGGGTTTTGCTCGTACCTTCTGGCACTAGTGTAGGGGATGAGAACAGACATTCTCCAAGCACCACGAGTATGTGGCAACAAAACGGTATCTGAAATCCTGCTGTGGGAAAATCCATTCCTAATGAGCTGTGTTAGCCATTGCAATCTTAATCCTTATTCTAGCAGCTGTTCCTATATTTCAGCTATCTAAACAATGGAAAAATGCTATTCTCTCTATTAATACAATGTATCATCTGAATTCTAGTAGCCAGTAACCTCACACCTACATGAATTGGATGTCAACCAAAAGAACACTCTATTGTCACCATCACACAAAGAGCATCTAGCCTGTTTTCTTACTGCTCTCATTGTTACACCACTCACAAGTCTATTTGAGAATAAGCTTCTTAAATGAAGTGGCCAGGTAGTATCATACTTTGGTCTTGTAAACCAAATACTGGAAAAATAATCCCCAAGAGCTGTCAAGAAAGAAGCCCATAGCTTCACCATCAGCTTCCAAAGCTGAAACTCTACTTAAACTGTTACTTGATTTTTCTAGTTCAAGCAGATAAATTGTTTTCAAGTACTACATAAGTATCAAAAACTATACTAACACCCTATGTGTATCAAGTATATATGTGTATTCATGTTATACATTAATGTCTAACTGAACATTAAGGTCCATTCCTCATGTATATAAACACTTATAAGCACATAATCCATTATTCAATCACATACTCATTTTTCATTGAATATTATCCTAGCCCGATCTAGTTATTATTCTTAGGACATAATATTAATCATACATGGCACATTGTTTTAATTACTTCCTGGTCACTGAGACACAATATCCATCAACCACAACTCCAAAGCAAATCAGTTTATTTTGGATCAAAGTGAACTTGTAAAAGTTTTAGTTCATAGTCTGCTGGCTCCCAGCAAGACAGAGGAGAAACAGCTCGTGGCACTGTGGCAGGAAACAGGAGAGGAGAGAGACCTTTCCAGGCTATACCTCAGAACCCCATTTACCTTCACCAGATGTCACCTCTTAATACCACATTCAACTGTAATCTCATCCATGAACTCATCAGCTGATGACTGTCAAATCCATAGGATCCATAACCTTCCAAAAGCCCGGCTTAGGAACACATGAGACTTTGGGGTACATGCAGATGCAAACCATAACACACATGGTCAGTTTTTGTCAACATGCTTGTCACTCCCAACAGGGTTTCTTAATATACCAGTCCCCATACAATCAGCAACCTGCTCAGAAAGTGACCCTCTTCCCTCTTGGGAGTTTCTATACTGAAACTATACTTGGTATCTAATCCTTATGTCAGAACCTTTATGAGAAGGATCACCCACTGCTTACCCTTAGATGCTTCCATGGACTTAATCAGCCCGTGATCACATAGAACTGGTATCAGGCCTTTTTCTTTCTTTCTTTCTTTCTTTCTTTTTTTTTTTTTTTTTTTTTTTTTTTTTCCGTACCTGGGATTGAATTCATGACCTTGCACTTGGCAGGCAGGTGCTGCACCACTGAGTTACACCTCTGGCTGCCAGGCATTTTTTTTAATTAGGAGGAAAGGCTATTATCCAGAAGAGCTCTCAATGCTTTACATTGTAGCTGAGTTTCAATTTAGTAATCTTCATTCATATGTCAACTATAAGTTGCTAATTTACCCTTTCATGAAAGATAGTACAGTTTTACAGCACCCACATGAGACACTCATGCATGCATGTACACACCTGCACACGTGACATACCTTTTTATTACATGAATTGCACAAACCTCCACCTTCCACAGATTCCTCAAAGCTCTAAAATAGCAGTGTGGTGGCACACGCTTGTAATCCCAGCACTCAGGAGGCTGAGGCAGAAAGATCACCATGAGTTCAAGGCCACCTGAGCTACATAACAAGACCCTATCTCAAAAAGAAAAAAAAAAAAAAAAAAACTAAAATAATTGTAATTGCATTAGTATATTCAGGTATTGTATTAACATATAAGTTTCTATGCTTGACAAAACAAAAATCCTGAAACAAAAATCATACCATATATGCATTAGTTGAAGATAATTCTGTTACTACTAGATTTAACTTTAACTTCAGTTAAAGCAAGTTTTTGCCTAACTTCTAATTAAAGCATTTTCAAAATTTAAAACTTTTACACATTTTATGGCTTAGCACACTAAAACTTTTTCTTTACAAGGTTAAGAAAAGTTTCCAATACTAATATAGCACTTCAATTTAGATTTTTTTTCTCCAAGGATGATTTCTCTGGATTTAGCTTTTTAAGTTAATAACTTCAACTAGGATTAAGTTTTACCCCAACTTTTAATTTTAGAAATTTCAAAACAAATTTTTACAAATTTTCTAGCTTATCAGGCTAAAACTTCTTCTTGATAAGGTTACTCAAAAAGTCCCCAATACTACCATAACACTGAAGCTTAGTATTTTTTTCCTCAAGGGGGATTTCTCTAGATTTTATTTTTTAACATGATTGTAACTTAAACTAGAAGCAAGATTTAGCCTAACTCCTATAAAGTATACATTTTCAATTTTCTCTAGATCATTAATAAAACAAGGCACTGAAATTGCATAGGTGAGTTTTAATGACTTCATAATTATATACGTTTGGACCTCGTGTTTTTACTCCTAGCTAAGTTGTACATGCAAGTACCCACATATCAGTGAGAATGCTATCTTGATTATGAAGATCAAAAGGAACAGGAATCAAGAACACTATTTACTCTTTCAGCTTCTTACAGTAGGGAGACAATACAATGTTTATATATGCAAGTCTGATTTATTTCACTTATGATAACGGTCTCAAGTAGCAACCATTTACCTGTAAAAGCCTTGAGTTTATCTGTCTTTATAGCTGAATAGTACTCCATTGTATAAAAATACCCTGTTTTTTAATCCTTTCTGGATTAAAAAAACAGGGCATTTGGGTTGCCTGTTGAGGGCATTTGGGTTGTTTCTAAGATTTAGCTATTACATACTGTAATAGCTGTAAACATGGGTGCACATAGAGACATCGTGGTATGATGTTTTTATTTCTTCTGGGAAGATGCCAAGGGAAATAGCTGGGTTGAATCCTAGTTTGTTGAGGAATCTCCACACTGATTTCCACAGTGGTTGTACCAGTCTACACCCCTGCCAACAGTGGAGAAAGTTCCTTTTCCCTCACAGTCCCCCCAACACTTGTTATTGGTCGATTTCTTCATGGTAGCCAGCCTTTCTGGAGTTGCAAATGAAATCTCAATTTGTTTTAATTTGCATTTCCTCATATGACCAGTGAGGCTGAACATTTTTCTACATACTTATTTGCCACTTGTATTTCTTTATCTGAGAAGTGTGCATTCATGTCAGATGCCCATTTTTGGACTGGGTCTTTGAATTTGAGGGGCCTGATATTTTTCATTTCTTTATATGTTCTAGATAGAAGTCCTTTGAGGTGCAATTGACTAAAGTGTACAATAGATATTGTGCAAGGGGCAGAAACTGCCCAAAAGTAAAGATCAACTGGGATGGGGAAGAGGAGAGAAGAAGGAATGGAAAAGAATATAAATATATATAAAAGCAGCTGAGATAATCACACTATTAATTTCTGTTCATTGAAAAGAACAATGTCATGGTTTATGTTTGTGTCCCCCAGGCCTCATGAGTTTGCATTGTTCATTTGTGATGGTTCATTGTATAGTGCTAGGATTGATGGTGTCAGTGCTCCACCCACATAGGGGTGGAGCCAGGATGTGATGTAATGGCAGGAAGAAGGTGTGTGTTGCTCTTTGCTGGTTTGAGCTTGCTGTTTGCAGCCGCCATGAACGGTGGTCCAGCCATGCCCGCCTGTCTTGGAGCCAACTGAGTGTGGACTGAAACCTCTAAAAACTGTAAGAAATAAACCTTTCCTTTCCCAACTTTGGGCTTCAGGTATTTTGTCTCAGCAACCAGCATAAAGTAACTAAGACAAACAATGTGTTTATATTGTTTGATCAATTTTTCATGCCTGAATCTTGTAATCTGAGCAACTACTTTGAAGATGACAATATGCAATATACTAACTTGTTAATCTTCTGTATCTTGTTTTGAAATTCTCTGTCATTGTTTATATTGTTTTTTCTCTTTAAAATAAAATATGAAACAATAATAAAATGGTGAAGGAAGACAAAAACACAGAACACTACCTAGTAGTTCACATGCCTTACTCAACCATACCCTCATGGGAAACAACAGTGATAAAAATTAAGCAATAAACAAAAGTTTAATTAAGTTGTACTCTTATTAGAATTGCTACATTTTGTTTCAGCAACCACAGTCATACAATTAACTCAAATTAGTAAAACCCAGGTTAAAGCTTATATATGAATAAATATTAAAGCATATTAAACTTCAAGATGAAAAATCTAGGATAGAGTAAAAATAAAAAAAGTAACTAATGTAGCCAGATGCACAATAACTAAGACCCGAACTGTGATTTAAACATAAATAACCTAAGCATAAATAGCCACATAACAAAATTTAAACCTAACATTTAAACATAAATAATTACATAACAATTATTTGCCAGAGTATTACCAGCAGGAGCTTAAAACTCTAAGGACTCAACGATGCTTTATATATCTCAAAAGAATCTGATTCCAGAATTGATAAACACTGTCATCTTTTCTGCCATCTTCAGTAAAACCTAA